TTCTTCTAAAGCCACTTCTTATCTCGTCTCAGCACCTTTGGACACAGCAGAAAAAATCACCGCTGTGGTCAGGAGCATGCAGCTCCTCCTGCCCTTCTACATGGGCATCCTTTAATGTTAGATCCATCTAGAGGCTGGTCCTTACTGAAAAACAACAACAAAACAACCTTTTTTAAAATATTTGTACTCTTCTTTCTGCTGCTTTTTGATGATTATAAATATTTTCCCTAAACACAATATATAATGTGCCAAAACTCCCTGAGGAGGCTTGTGATGTAACCCTTGAGCTGAACCCAAAGTTATTTCTGAAGTGGCCCAGGTATTTCGGGATGTGATTTGCATCAAAAGGAAAAAGGAACTGAAAATGCTACAAAATCTCCAGGGCAAATCTGGCTTTTGCAGGTCCTGATTCTGATATTATAAACTATACACAATTTATAAATTAAACAATTCTAAATAGTTTAATATAAGGATAGATTTGTATCTCTGTAAAATCAATGTATTTGTCCGCAGGAGTGTGGAAAACTTTTATTAATTAGGGAACCAGTCCTTCAGGTTCCTTGTTAGGGCTGGAAAACAAGGTATCTATCTAAAAGGATTGACTGAAATTTCACCTTGTCAAATAGAAAATCTGAAAGTCCTTAAAAAGTTTTGACGTATGTGCATGCATGCAAAAATAAGGAATGCCACATAATCCAACACAGTCTCTAGCACAGTTACTGAAAGACATGTATAGAAATTAGGTGCTTCTGGTAAAAGTCTATGCCCAGAAATCTTAGGAGGGAATATAACTCTGAATTTCATTCCCATAGGAATTTTGATGACCAATTCTAACCAGAGGTTTCTTTGACTAGCCTGACATCTCCATAAAAAGTTATTTTCTCCATCAACCTATGCTTTCCAATCAAAAATATCACCCTGAAAAAATTTAAAGTCGACTCCTACTCTCTCAATTGCTCAAAAGTCATATTATTATTCACTTACTATATGAACCATTTTAGTAAACACTAATTTTTGGAAAAATCAGGCTGCTCTACAAGTCAGAATTCTCCAGGTTAATGAAAAACATCTAAAAACTGATTTTATTAAACTGATGTAAAGGGTAGAGTGGACTCTCTTCTTGCATCTTGGGCCAGCTTAGTTTTGGGCTGTTTTAAGGTGTTTATGAATCTGTCTCATTCAAACAGTAATCAGAGCACTGAAACAGGGTAACCAAAATGCCACGAATCTTCCTGAAGGTAAGACTTGATTCAATAAATGCTCCTAACAGCTAGGAGACGATTGCCAAGTATGTTCATCTCCACCTCTTGAAGCTTCTAGGGTAGGATTAAGGCACACAGGCAGTGGCAATGATGCTACCCTCACTATCTTGGCATACAACTAACCTAATAATAACCAAAATGTGAATCAATGTAATTAAAAAAGAAATAAAACCATATGAATTTTAAGAAAATCTTTTTTTTTTTCCTAACCTCTGGGCAAGATGCAGTGTTTCCAGCAAAACCCCTCCTCCAATTAATCCTACTGGGCACAAGGGGTCGAAATAACAAAGTTGGACTGGTCCTATAGACTGAGCTCCTTGAAGAGATGCTTTTAGGTCTGCTCTAAACCTGGCTAAAGTACACAGAGGTTCTCCACTGATTTCAACAAGCTTTGACCCAAGCCTTTAATGAACTGTAGTTAGCCTTACTGTGAGCAATGAACTAGAGTGGATTTCATTGATTAACCTTCTACCAGAAGTTGCCATGCACTGTTCAAAGGTGCTGAGCAAGAGCCAGAGAAATCACATAAATGATGGTAAGATAACAGAAAGAATTTGGCACAGGAAATATTTGTTATCCTTATTTATTTAATAAAGAAACATAATAAACTTGACTTTTTCCCAGGTACAAACGGCTTAATATGTCCTATGATATTGGCTGATATTTTCCTTGCTCTTTTTGTAGCTTGAGTGATTCATGGTGTAGCCTTTATTAAACAAATCAACACAAAAAAAAATGGTAGCACTCACCATGCTTATAGACAGTCTGGGCCAACTATTGAGTCAATATCTTTAACTAAATCACCATACTCAGAGGCTGCATCATTGCTAGAGTTGGGTCGGTATCTCCATTAATAAAGATATGCAAGCCAGATTATTTAATGTTTTTAAGGGGAGTTCTGCATATCATACAAAGGTAGCATTCACTCTTCAGCTCTAAAGAATGGTGCCACAAAACAATAGAAAACCCAATAGAAAACCAACCTTCCATTTACAAAGCTTTTGCAAGTAATTTACAATTCATTTTTAGAAAGATGTACTGTAAGCATCTATAGTTAAGACCCTCTTCCAGATTTTTGTGAATTATGCTCTTTTTTAACAGATTTTTGGGTAGAAGACAGAAGCATTTATAATTGCATCAGTGCTATAGGGTCTCAGAGCAATGAGACAGTAAAACAGACAGTAAAATGTTCAATGCAAGGGTGAAAGGACCAGTGGAAGAGCTATTATGTAATACAATCAATGACCAACTAATCTTCCCATGACATCCTATTCATTATGGGGCTGATAGTCTACTATTAAAAATATCAGATGAATGTATTGAGAAGGCATATTTTAATATAAGTTGCAAATAGTTAGAAGTACTTTTAAAACAGTATGATCAACAGAGCATAGCTGTGTGCAGGTTGGGCTTTTTTTGAGATTTTGACTGTTTGTCTTACATAGGAATCAGGTAAGAAATGCTCATTTTTTTTTTTCTTTTCATTTTTGTTCTGAAGCATCAAAAGGAAAATAATTTTGCCAGTTGTCAGCCAATAAATTCTTGTTCAGCAAGTAATGTATGTACTATTTCCTAATTAGAAAGTTTAATTATAGGCAGCCTGTTTCTAATGATCAATAAATCCCATTGAGAAGAAAACATTTTAATCAGTAAGCCATGTCCTCTGAGTGCCAGCCACTCTATAAACTCACAAGGTAGATATATATGTATAGCATATGTATATGTGTGTGTGTATAAATATAAAAATCTCCTACTCTTTCTGGGTGATATGTACAGAATAATGTTACATCATAAATACACAGGGAATCTGTAGAAAGTTTCTCTAACTTGAGAAGCCTTGAGCAGTTATCTTTTTTTTTTTAATTTTTTTTTTGAAGGTGTGGGAAGGAAAGAAAAAAGAATGTTTTCACTTTACAGAAAGAAGAGTAGTTCCCTTAAGTTGGAATCTAATTACATACAAGATTTAAAGGCAACAAAATCCCCAGAGGAACAGCCCTATGTTATATATCACAGACATGGGGTTAAAAGGGCAAGAGAGCAAGTTTATAATAATACTTATATAGTACGTTTCATTCCCTTATAGCACTTTGCAATCAGTAAGCCTTACAACCCCCCATGAGGTAGGTAAGTATTATTATTCCCATTTTACAGATGGGTAAACTGAGGCACAGTTAGGTTAAATTATTTGTCGCCTAAAAATCACTTCGCAAGAATCAGGAATAGACCCCAGGAATCCTGATGGCAAATCCTCTGAATTAACCAATAAACCACTCTCAAGTGAGTGCCTGAGACACCTCTCAATGAAAGGAGAGAATATATTTGCCCATATATACACAGATACATAGTATGTGTTGTCTTATTTTGATTTGTTTAGAGGACAGATAATACGGCCATAGATAAAGTTCACTGTAACATGTCACTTTTTAATTCTTTCGCCAGCCCCATGTGGATTTTGACTCCTTTACAACCTGGCATGTAAATAAAAGTCAATGACAGAACACCTTAAATACATTCTTGATAACTTTGCTTCTCCAAGGTAAAAAGCAAAATTACTCTTCCTTAAAGTGCAATGGCTCATTACAGAAATCTCAGGCAGGATTTTCCATGAAGTCCAACCAAACCCAAGTACAATCAGTCTGAAGATGAAAAAAACCCCAACAAAATAAAACTTGTCTGTAATGACGGACTTGTCTCTATATTCCATAAGTACTTTCTCACATTCTATCAAAGCTGAAAGTTTAACAATAAATAATAACCTATTTTAGCATGTAAAACCTCTAACACTTTTCTACAGCCACACGTCAACCTTCCACGCTCTAGTCGTATCTTTGGCCTGAAGCTGATGTCTACATCAGCTGTAAATATTTCTTTGCCGGCAAGAATGAAGATATTTTTGTTTTCTAGTTGATTCTTATTATTGGTTCCTGTATTTCTTGTCCTTCTCCAGTTATCTGGCTGTATTAGCTGAGAAAATGAAAGAAGGACATTGAGTAGAAAGGACTCAAAACCCTCAGAATTTGTGTACAGATCTGGAGGCAATTCCCCTCCTGCCTCCTTGGTCACACCATTGCAACCGTTCTGCACAGCCCAGTTAGCATTTTCATTACTAGTTTTTTTCTTTTTTTTTTTCTTTTTGAGTGGTATTGATCCACAGATTTTCCAATAAGGCTGTTTATCTCTCTGTTCCTGGGGAAAAAGTATAGCCTATCCCACTCCCTTAAAAGAAACTTTGCACTACACACAATGTGATGCACTACGTCTATCTGTGAGAGTCTGATTGCAGTATTCAAAGCAGATTCTTGAAACATACTAAAAAAATTAGTGCTTTTATTAACAGTTTTACAAACAGAATCCAGTGCTGTCTAGTTTCCTGAAGGATAGAACAAGTAATTTCTCTTACTATTTGACATCGTTTCCTTCTGTTTTTTTTTTCTATATATATATATTCTGCTGATGAGCAGTTACAAGTCCCAGCAGGGAGGGATTAGTGTAATAAACAATTAAAATGTTGCTAATTTAATAGTTTACTTTGCAACAACTGTCCTCTTCAAATGATGAGGATCCCGCAAGTTCTTATTAGCTTGACTCAGAGTTCATCATGAAGAGTGTAAGGATCATTAATCTCCATGAAAAAAGAGACAATTTCTTTTAAGTAAAAAAATATCAAATATAATAAATTTATGAAAGACCATTCACAACATATACAGTAAGTGTTACATTTTGCTACAGCAGCTGTGATATATTTTTTTTTTCTTTTCAGAATGCAAGGTCATACATCGCCATAAGTAAACACACTAATATGAGTAAGACCTTAAATGAATGTATACAGCCAGGCTTTATCTGTGGATAGATATACACTGTGTTTACTGTTTTACAGTCTAGCATATTCATATTCACGCCATTGATATAACAGCTTTGACCCTGCAGAGATTCGTCCTGTGCATATATAAATATTGAGCCAAGTCAAAAAAAACAGGGTCAGAGGTTATATGACTTATTAGACTCCTGTAGTTAAGGGTAAAAACTCCATTGCTTCTTTTGCAACTAATGTTTAATAAGAAGGCTGCTTCAGTCGTTGTGTAGTTACAGCATTACATTCTGTAAACAATGTTTTAAAGCATTCTAAACAACCATTTAAACAATTGATTCTTTATCTCTGTCGGGCGAGAGCAGACAATCTATAGCCTCATCGCTTCTGCTGGAGTCCGTAACCTTCAGCTGGAGGTTGTCACTGGTACCTCTGGTGACGCTGTCGTAGGATGGAGGGAAAGACGTGGAGGACAGAGTCTCGGATTTATCTATTGGCCTGCCATAGTTTTCATTCATCATGAATGCGATGAGACCCTCCTTCTCGGGTGCATCGTCCTCAAGGATGCTGCTGTCAAAAGTTCTGTGCCGGTACAAGTAGGAAGCCTGCTTCATGGAGCGCCGAAACAAGTGTCTCCTGTAGGCCCGCTGGATGACGATGGCCGACACCTCTTCTTGTTTCCGCCTGAGAGTGGTTGTAATCGGTTCATAAGAGATCTTGGATGGATTCGCTGCCATGAACTTTTCTTCCATCTGTATTTTAAGAGCATCCATCTCCCCAGATTCCCCTAGCACCCTTTTTGTAAAAGCAAACAAAATATCCAAGCAATGGATCCTGTCTCCGCTGACCATGGGCAGGTCCATTGCTATGAGTTTAATTTTGTTTGGTTTCGCTATGCGCAAAGGTTCTGACAGTGCATCTGCAAAGTCTGAAAGTGCAGAATACTCAATAAACTGAGTGGCTTCAGGATCAAACTTTTCCCAGATTTCATAGAACATATCAAAATCATCCTCGCTTAGAGGCTCTGTACTTTCCTCAGTGGCTACACTGAAGTTCTCTAAAATAATGGCTATGTACATGTTTACAACAATGAGAAATGATATAATGATATAAGTAACGAAGAATAAAATCCCTACAGCAGGGCTTCCACAGTCTCCCTTCGAACCGTTTGCATTTGGGAGGTTTGGGTCACAATACGGTGGTCCGGTGTTTAAAATAGGATTAAGAAGACCATCCCAGCCAGCTGATGTTGTGATTTGGAAGAGACAGAGCATGCTGTTAGCAAAGGTTTGGAAGTTGAACATATCATCGATCCCATACTCCTTCTTCACATAGGCAAAGTTAGCCATGCCAAAAATGGCATAAATGAACATGACCAGAAAAAGCAAGAGGCCGATGTTGAACAGAGCAGGCAGGGACATCATTAAGGCAAAAAGGAGAGTTCGAATTCCTTTGGCTCCCCGGATGAGTCTTAGGATCCGGCCGATCCGAGCCAAGCGAATGACTCTGAAGAGCGTAGGAGAGAAAAAGTATTTCTGGATGATGTCAGAAAGCACGGTGCCTTGAAAACAAGAGAGAAGGGGGCAAAAAGCAACTTAGTAGGTGAGAAATAATCACAAACTTCCTCTTAAAACAACTGAGATCATGGACAAAACTAGTGAAAAGCTCCCACACTGGAAGACACAGTGTAAAGACACTGCAATTAGGATTTCTATCATCTGTATGTCTAGTTCAGAGCCACATTTTATGATACGTCCATGAACCTTTAAATGTACTTTGACATCTGTATTATGGCACGATAGGATGATACCTATCATTTTCTTTGATGCTCTAAGAGCTTTGGCTCTGAACTGATCTGCTGGTGTAAGACATTTCATTGTTTCCTTGATGACACAAATTATTGATAGTCAGCGTTACACTATATAATTTATTATAAAAAAAAAACACCCTAGGATCCAATCCTACTAGGAAGTGCATTTTATTTCATGGAGCCTTTAACTATGCCTGAATAATTTATTCTCGCCTTTTTATCATTTGAGTTTTGGTGGAAATGTTCCTCTCCTGTTCAGATTCACCTACCTACAATAGAGAGAATCACAACGACAAAGTCAAATATGTTCCAGCCATTGGTGAAGTAGTAGTGTCGCAAAGCAACCATTTTAATGATGCATTCTCCAGTGAAGATGGCAACAAAAAGCATGTTTATTTTGTGGAGGATGTTCACTTTTTCTTGGCTTTGGTCATCTGTTTCCACCATCATGGTAACCATGTTAAGGCAGATGAGGATCATGATGGAGACATCAAAGGCTTGTTTTGAGACAACATCAAAAATAAAACCTTGGTATTTGTTCTGGAGGAAAAGATAGGATTATTAGTTAGGCAATCTGGACTACATCAAAATGATGACACTGTTCTCTCCTTATTGATCAGCTTTGACCTAGAGAAAATAGGCAATATACTCGTTCTAATTAGAAATTCATAAACATGAAAATGATGATGGATGGTTGGATGATGGAGATTTCAAACGTATTAACTTCTAATACTCTTGAAAGTACTGGAAAAAGACCTTGAACTGGGGCAACAAATTAATTCAAAACAGACATGACTGCTGTGTAACTGCATAGATAAACTGCATTTTAGTCAGTATTGCAGAATAGTAGGAATTTTGTACCATACAAGTCCCTGGACCTGCAAACACTGTCCAAAACAAATCATATAAATATAAGGTGTTTTTCACCTGTTTTTGATTGCTCCTTCTAAACGTGGAAAATGAATTGCATTTATTCTATTAATTATTCACTTATCATACATAGTCCAATTGAACTACACCATTCTTACCAGTGGCCTTGGGATTGGCTTTTGAGGTTTCTTAGATCCCAGTTTTTTCATTGCATTATAATACTTTTTCTGTTCTTCTGTCATAAAAATATCTTGTCCACCTAAGTATAGGATGAGAACAGAACTGTTACTTTGGATGAAAAACAAAATCCCACTGCTTGCATGCCACGTCTAGAGCTGCACCCACCTCTTATTTTCTTATTTTCTTTGCCATTTAGCTTTTGTCAAAATATCTACCAAGGGCCTGAGATGGTGTCATGCTGGATACTGATTATTACATGAAGGTGAAGGGCAGGGGACACAGAGCAGTGTGTGCAACCAAGGGGCAGCACGAAGCAGCGTCAAGTCCTGTCTGCACTTGAGATAGGTCCAGGGTGAACAAGAACTTCACTGCTTTGTTTAGAGGAGCTGAAGCAGTGAGAGACACCGTTCCCAGGTCAGGCTGCTCCTGCTCCGGAAGCCCTGGAAGCACACGGGGATGTGCTGTGTCAAGGAGAACAGGCTGCGCTGCTCGGAAGGACAGTGTCATTCATACAGTGGGGACATCAGGACAGTCTGTGTCTGAGCAGAGCTGCTGCCAGAGATCCTCTCTGCCTGGGGCTGCTTGGCTCTGCTTCCTCCTGGGCACATAATCTCCCAGCTAGCATTTTCAGGACGCTCATCCTGTGGGGAGATTAGGGGCTGCTACAACTGTGTTTTTGCAAAAATCAGGCAAGATGTGTTCTGTTAATCTCGAGAACGTGGCAGAGCTGCTGCTTCTAAATCTATCCCTTGCTTTGGTCTCTGCAGCAATCACAAAACGATGTGTAGCATATGCAGTACTTATCTTTTTCTTTTGTTGGTTAAAATTGTCAATAATGACACCTATGAAGAGATTCAGCGTGAAGAAAGAACCAAAGATGATGAAAATCACGAAATACAGGTACATGTATAAATTACATTCCCATTCAGGCTGCTCCTCACACTGCAAAAGTAAGAGGAAAAACATGAGAATAACACTATCGCCACAGATACGAAAAAAAAAATGCAGTTAATAAAAAGGCAACGATCAGCAACGAATATTAGGAAACAGAAAAAAACCACACATATATATATAATATTCTCCCAGTAGCAGAATTGCTGATCTGTTTGAAGTTTAACACTTGTATCTGAAATGCTATGGTCATTGCAGCTGCATTTCATAGTACCGTCACAGCAATCACACTGCTTCAAAAAGTGCAACTTCAGAATAAATCCAATAAAATGTGCTCAGTCTGAACCCAGAAGGGGAAAAGAATCAATCTACTGATTATCCCTAATCTTATATGAACTGATGATACTTCTAATAACAAAAGTATAATTGCAGTACAATTAAATGCTACTGAAAAACACTACTGAAGGTCACTTTATTTGATAGTATGGTCATTTCTGACTCTGAGAAGAGTAGAAATGAACTATTTGGTGGCTGTATAGTGGTAAATGCCACTTTCTTAATGGAAACCAAGTATGCAAATTATTTTTATCATAATATCCATACTGGAAAGAAATCTTCCAATTAAGAAATATTATCTGGAAAGTCTAGTGAATCAGGAATTGTAGTGAATTTCGCCACTGATGGGTTTGTGTCTGGAGCTCAGAGCTTTTAACAGCTTATCCAGCTCAAAGTTGTGAAAGGAACAAATCCTGGAATTTTGAAAAAGCTCAGTGACACCAAAGCAAGCTGGGGCTTTTCAGCCCCTCATGTTCTGCTTTTGTACGCACTGAACTCATTTTGGAGTGCAAGAGCTGGAATTACAGGGTTTTTTTTTGTTTGTTTGTTTCACCATTTTGTGCTATAGGAGTCCAATTATCATTAAAAATTTATGCTAGGTAATGCCTTGGAACCAACTCCAAGGCCACCAGAGGTCTTGCTGAAGGAGCAAGCGATGCGGTCTTGTTGCCTTAGATCTCCGGTATCAAATTGGGCAACAACACCCAGATTTGCCCCACCAGCTCTAGATATCCAAGCAAGGTGCCTACATCAGAAGCTCTCATCTCCCTACATGTCCCATTTTCACATGCATAATCCAGGGTTTTATTCAGCAGCAGGGAGGATGCAAACTTGGGTAATCGGCATCACAGGCTATGTTAAGCAAAGGTACTTTTCTGCACCTTTGAGTATGTGAGGTTTTTTCTACCTTTTTTTGACCCATTTAGAACCTGACTCACTATCACTCAGTTCAATCTCAAAAAGTGCCTTTCAGTGCTGGACCTTTTGCAGGACAAAGCCCAACATGCTCACCTCAATGCATCTTCAAGGCAGTTAGGTAAAGCAGAGGTGCAGAATGAATGCATTTGTTTTAATATCTTAGGCTAGGTACCTGTTAGACCAGTTGCCATGAATGAAATTCCACAGCTGTCACAGGCAACTTGTATCTTTTTTTTTGCTAAACATCATGAATGCTGCAAAATTCAACTGAAAAGAAGTCCTTTCATTGCAGTGACCTACCTCTCGTGAATCCACTGCTGCGTACATAATATCCATCCAACCTTTAAAAGTTGCCTGTAAAAAACCCAAAATGTATAATTAAACATAGTAAATCTGCAAATCTTAAAATGACTATGTCCTCCTAAAAAAAAAAAAAAAAGAAAAAAAGATGTTCAGTAGGTTCTTCACAGTTAATGAATTGTTCTGCTTTTAAAGCAAGAAAAAAAGAAAAAAAAACAAAGCATTTGTATTCCTGTAGGCATTTAAATTGATACTGGAATGGTTTTTGCCAGGATTCTCTCACTCACGTTGTTTTTGGATTTTCTGCAGTGATAGGGATGAAACAAAGAATTTTAATAGGGATTTTAAATAAGGAAAGGAAAAATATGGGAATTAAACTTTTGGAAGTCAGAGTTTTAGAAACTGGAATGTTTTTCCCATAGCAAATTTAAGTAAATAAGAAATAATATGTCATGAAAGGGTCTGTGCTAGGATCTGCGTGGTACCCACGGAGACAGCAAGAGGAGAAAACAAGGGGCACTGCTGTAATTGCTGCTGCAGGGAACGTCTTCCAGGGAGACGGCTGGGCAGGACCACGTCTCACATGAGGGAGATGAAGGCTCTCGTTAACACGAGTCAAACTGACGAGCAATGACAGAGTTGCGGGGTCTCGCTGAAGCTCCGATTCTGCCCTCTTTTAACAACTGAGTAAATCAAGACACTAGCAAAAACAGGGGAGTAAATCTGATTGGCTTCTCATTTTTTTTTTCTTTTTTAAAAATAAGTGTACATAATTAGGAATAACAAACAAAAACAAAACAGAAAAAAAGGAAAAAAGAAATTTAAAAAGGGACTCCTTAGAAGTCACTGAATCTTATTGTAATTTATTGCCTCTATATTACTCTGTTTCTTATTTGGCTTTTGATACATTTTGAATTACACTCATTTTAAAACCGGACTGAGTAGATAATCAGGTATTTTTGCATTAATTTATTTAATCTGATTTTCACTTGCGTGTATGGTAGACCCACGCCTAGCATTTTCTAAAGTCCTCCTGACCCGTAGGCTGAGTTTCCACTGTGGTGCCTGGGCAAACAATCCCTGGTAATGCAAACTGGACTCATGCCAGAGGTTCCCAGGAGAAACCCACGCATTTGTGTTTAGCTAGGTACATCCAGCAGTTTTAGAGATGTTCCATTATACACTCTCCGTTATTAAATTAAATCTTGGAGGTAATGCTGCCATTCCACTCTCTTTTGAATGCTGCTGAGCCAAAGGAAAATGTTGTGCAAGAGGTCAACCATATTTATTTTTCATGAAAGCATATATAAATTAATGTTTGAAAGGTTGCATTCATTTTCATCTACTACATGAGGGAGATTAAGCCCTGAAAATCAGAACCTTTTGGAAAATCTACGCCACAACACAGGGTTTGAGCAAACACTTCCCAAGTGATATGATCAGCACTTTTACTGAAACAAATACTTATTTAAACCTGTCACAACAAAACAGAAAACAAAACAACAACAACAAAAATACTTTTGCTCCTGGCACAAAATAAGATGATCTTCACTTGTACTTTTCTCCTACTTGGGAAGATTTTTTTTTACTCCTGAGACATGTACCATGGAAGCAAGAGAGGCTACTGCAAGACATAGTGATTTATAGTGCTAAGAGACAATGAAATGATCTGATGAAAACGCATATTAAAATGAAAAACTGTGATTATCTGCCTTCCCCAGTTGTCCAGAAGTAAGAGAATTAAAAATCCACCAGGCTTCTGGAAAGCTTCCCTAGACATTTCATCTGAAGGGAGTCAAAGATACAGAGAATGAAAGAAATATAACACTGGGCAAAGAAATTATTTATCTGGAATTAGTAACCACTTACACTCTGGATAAGGAAGTGACAAAATCTCCATGGGAGTATGTGTGATATTATCCCGCCTGGAAGCTATCCAGAGAAACACCATTTTCTACTGAAACTGTCATGTGATGAGATTATCTACCGATAAACTCATCTTGGGATGGGATTACACTTTGTTGTTTGACTCTTGGTCAGAGCTGCAATGCAGTAAATTAGTGAGGAGGAGGATAGGTGGGATGGGACTAACTGCCCTCAAGCCTTTTATCGTACAACCAAATGGTGCCTTAAAATAAAACAAGGATTTAAAGCTGCCTGGGGGGAATGTTTTTCTAGAAAAGGATGGCAACACAACAATAGAAATGGCTGCTTTGGAAGACAGGAATGGCAGTTTCGCATTCCTAAAATGTTTCCTTAAGTATTAATATTATTAGCAAAAGCTCACAAAAACAAGAATGGGGTGCCAGCAACACATCCAAACTGCACATATTTGAGATGCCTGTACTATCTGATGGTTCTCTGGTGACTTTTTTTTGGTCTGTTTGGTTTCATTTTAAGAATGGTTTTATATGGGGTGCTCATTTTCTGTTATTTTTGGGTTTTGATGATTTATGACAGCAGTGCTGATGCTGGGCTAGGTAGGACATGGTAGGAGGACACGGTCTCTGTTGTCCTTGAGAGCTGCCGTGGAAATGCTGCTCATGACGTGTGTATTCTTGTCTCAATCTAGTGAGTTTTGGAGATGATGGAGAAATCTACCTCGGCATACAAATGGAATTTGTATATATATACCAATATGTAAACTGACTTTTAGCATTTTTTTAGCATCCTCGCTGAAAGTAAAATCTATCATGCAGTTTACAAAAGTGCAAGAGATCATATAACTCAGTAACTTTAGACACATGCCACTGTCCCATGACCATTTTGTAGCTGATTTATGAGCTCAGTCATGACTTTGAATCTGGCCAAAGGGGCTGATTTAGCTGTGTAGCTCCTGGCTGCTGTACTGGACTAGAAGTGTTCCCTTTACCTTCCCATTCCTTATCTGGAGCCCCAGAGTGACAAGGAATTACAGGATGTTTTAATGCAAGTCTGTTCTAGTCTAGGGAGAATTTTTTAAGCCAACCAGGTGCAGGCTAAGAGACCATTTTTTTTTCCTCTTCAGACAACTGCTATACTGTAAAAATATGTAGGGCTTATGACAACATGAACGGAATAATTCTGCAATGGAAATGGAAAATTTCTACTAGAAAATTTAGATTATTTCTTTGGTCAACAGAAGGACAGATTGATGAAACGTAGGTGCAGAGATCAAAGATGAAGCATTTCTAGGAATCTAAAGACAGCATTACTGAGGCCGTAGGTTGTACTAAAAATTACTCCTAATAGATTGGGGTGTTAAGAGATTATACCCCGAGAAGAATGAGTCATCTTTCTTGGAAATTAAAAAGTCATGATAATAACCATCTTTTTCTCTCCATGAAAGAGGCATTTCTCTAGGTTGTGGAGTGAGCGGGGACTGCTTCCTATTTTAGCAATCTGTTATGAGACAGCTCCTTTGTAAACTGTAGGAGCTTGAATGACCACTTGACATGAATGGTTTCTCAGATTCAAAGTGGTATAAGTCAAGGCATGGTATAAGTCAACGCATCTTCAGAACAAAATGACAGATCCCAGATTAGGTAGGAAAAGACCTATTTTTATTCCGTTCTCAGCTAAGCCAACATTAAGTTTGTCTCTGGATGGTAGTTGCTGGGTCTTGCAGTCGCTGCAGTAACAATGTTTTGTTTCTCTCAAGGATCCTACACCTATGTGTAGAAGTGAAGCCAGAACATTAGGCAGGCAGATTTGTCTTAGGCATTTTCAGATGCATTCGGGCATCTAAAGACAACTTTAGAGTTCTTTAAAGAGCATGCTGCAGCAGCTGAAAATGTCAGCACACCCCTTCCCTCTCAGGAACTTGTATTTTGGTTCCCTGAGGGTTTTAACCAAAATGGTTATCTCTTCATCACTACACACAGTCCTGCCATGCACAAAGATGCATCGATATACTTGTTTAGGAGAGCTGAGCTGTTAAGTGATCATCTGCAATTCCTGTGGTAGTTTGTTCACGATATGTGACACCGCATGCAGCTGTTCTTGGCAAGGGGTCCCTGTAACCAACACTCCTCAACTGGAGTCCATCAGAAGAGAACCAGATGTTGAGTCCCTTTTCTGTGAGTGTCATCCTGACATTTTCTTGCTTAAACTCATCATTATCAGCATATATAAGAGCTCCAGGTGTGGGATGATGTTTTAAAGCAACCCCTAAATGGCATCTGACTCCGAATGTCCTCAGTGTTGAAGGAAGGATCCAGCATCTGTCTTAAAAGCTTCACAGAGTTTTAAGATTCCATCATTTAGGGCCATAATCAATTTGTCCAGCCTGCACAGAGTCTACATTTATGGGCTTCTTCCATACTTTTGCAACTGGAAAATCTGCTTCTCTGCTACCTGTTACAGGGTCATGGGTCCAAAAGAAACCAACCAACAGGATCATCAAGTCCATTTTTGTCTGGAAAATAGCCATACCTCATAGTACCTCCATTAATGTGCTGTGGTCCACTTTAATAGTGGTTATGCTTCAGTAGTGCCCAAACTAGTTGTTTTTTGACATTCCAGTGGCCCGCAGTCCCACCTGCTGACAGCAGCCAGTATCACTAGCATTGAGTACAGCACAATGGTAAAAAAAACTGTTTCAGGGCACACACTTTAGGCAATGCCAATTTATATTAAAAAAAAAAGGCAAAAAAAAAAAAGCAGATTCCCAGAGAGATGGACCTCAGGTCTTATAAAACAAATGTGGTTCTTTTCTTCACAGGAACCACAATCTTTGGATTGTCCTCTTTTAGGTGATGATGATATCTGAACAAGTCTCCTTGATTTCTGGGTTCTTTAAAAAAGATTGCTAGTGTATCTGCCAATAATTTTTTCTCACCAAAAAAACTAGGTTTCTGTTATGAAGCCACTGAGGAGATAAGGAGCTTCAGATGAGGCATAGCAGTTTAAACCTGGAAGTTTTTCCTCAGCTATATTGGATGTTTAAATAAAAGACAAAGAAAGCACTCTACCGAATGGAAAATCTAATTAAAACCGTTCAAAGTGAATTAATCTACCCTGCATGGGTGAACTGAATATCATAATTACATGCAAAAGATAAAAGCTCTTGCTCTCAGTTCAGCTTTAGGACATAGAAAGAACCAGACATGGTTGTGCCCATTGAAATCTTCTGTTTTCTAGAAGGTGTAACTGCAAGGACTTCACAGATGATGGTCAAAACATCTCAGATTCAAGTGTGTGTGCTAAGAACAGAAAATATAAGGATGAGCACTTCTACAAGAAAGGAAAGCTACCTTTTCCCTCTGTTCTGTGACAGAAAAAAGCACTATCTGCCAAAAAACAAGTGTGTCTCATGGCAAGCAGCAGGGTTGGCAGATATGAAAGGCCCATGAGAAGGTGCATGGCCTCTTGGAAGAGCAGATGGAAGTCAGAGGTGGCACCCTATAGCATTGCAAAGGGCAAGCCTCACAATGCAATCAAGACCCAGGGTGGAAGTTTTTTTATCCCAGAAGGGATGAACCTTACCACAGATCCTTCAAGACAGCAACCTCCCTGTCCATGCATGTCGTGAGGGATTTGTTTCACTCTCTGTATAAAATGCAATGCAACAAACATTCCAGGCACTTATCCAGTCCTTGCCACGGCTAGGTTTCAAAGCAAAGTAAGAACAACAGGAATTAAGTGTCATTATCACTGTTTTACATGAGGGCCCCATGGAATGGGAACAAGAAGCAATTTGCCTAATGTCACTCAGCAGCAGAATGGCAAGGTCTGGAAAGGAAGAGAGAGTCTCCTGTGGCTCTACTAGGCTGTGCTGCCTTACAACACAGTAACTCTCAGTGTATGCAACCCATTTACGCATGTTTTACATTTGCTGTTGGAAAAAAAAACCATAGAAGTGGCTTACTTGTGTCTTTATAGATCAAATATTGCAATTAACTCTGAACCTCAACAGTCTCCTCTCTAATTTGCTCTTCTTTTCCAGAAAGATCAGTCAATATGGGAGTGAGGTACAGCAATCTGATCAACATTGTATTTCACGGGTTTGTTCAAGCAGGTTATGCTTACAGTAAAAATAGGGCTTTAATCTAAAGATCCTTTATTGTGTGATAGCAAATAAGAAGTTAAACTTCATTTTCCAGTTCAATTTTGGAAACCTGTATCTCACTTAACTAATTCTTGTTTGACTCCTGAAATAAATAAGAAAGAAATACATATTGATTGCTAGACTGCTGGATGCATACACCAGAGAGCTTTGCACAAATATATATATATCTTTTTGGAATGGATCCACTTAAGTTAACACTGACGGAGTTTAACTTTCTAAATAATTTTTTTTAAAAAACTGAATTATGTGGCACTGCCTCAAAAAGGTAGTTTACTAGGAGCTTCTGCTATGATTTTTTATAGAAGGTGCTTTGCAGGGTGCTTTATGCATGTATGATTTATGCCTCAAAGCCAATAAATTCAAATGAGTAACTGTAGGCACTGTTTTTTTTTTTTTTTTTTTTTTTTTTTTTTTTACTATAGGGAAATAATGAAGGCCCAGGTGGTTCAGGAAGGCCAGTACACTCTGTTTGCATGAATGGTCCTTCCTGGACCATAAATTATTGCTTCAGGATCTGAACTTAGTCCCGGATTACAACATCTACAGAATGATCTTTATCATCTCTGTAGTTCAAGCACCTCCTATCATATCAGTGATGTACCAGAAACTCTAAATAAAACCCAGAATCTCTAGGACACATTCATATGTGAAATATGGATCATCTGAACTTCATGAAGGGCACACTCCTGGTAGGTAAGGCTGAAAATAAACAGAAAAGTGTACAAGTTAACTTGATCTCGGAAGGCAATGATTTCAATGGGAGTAAGCAGTGTCTGTCCATTAGAAGTTTAAACAGCTAGATATCTAACTAATGAGAAACCTTTTTGGGGAGTGGAGGGTCATACTTACCACTTGTAGCAGAGCCAGGTACCCAGCACCAACGTTATCAAAGTTAACTTTAACTTTTGTCCAATAAAATGTGCCGGATACATTATAGAGTATGCAGTCACTCATGTTGTTAATGATTTTGGAGTCTAAAGGCATATCTCCTTCTGTCTTGTTAATGCACTTCCCAAACTTTCCAGCAAACAGGTTCACTCCCATGATGCTGAAGATAAGCCAGAAGATGAGGCAGACGAGCAGGACATTCATGATGGAAGGGATGGCTCCCACGAGGGCATTGACCACCACCTTGGTGAAATAGGGGAGAAGGAACAGAATTACTGTTGGCACTTACATAGGCACTTTCCTGACAAGCTCTTGTGCATCCTCAGTTACCTGGGCTGAACCCTCATGAGGTCTCACACGAGTAGCTACTAACATTACCTGAGAAATCAAACCACTGTTTCAGGGTTTGCACATATATTCTTCTTCTTCTTCTTTTTTTTTTTTTCTTTTTGCAACTGAGGATCTGTTCTGCTGGCATCCCACCCATAGGAAGATGGTTTTCCAGGAAGAATCTTTCCTTTAATTCAGGAGCAATCTACCACTGATCATTACTTCCCAAACCTTACTGGATAACACACTTAAATCAGAACAACTCAAATAATCTTGCAATTAATTGGAAGTTACTGAGGCTCATCAAAGTGTGTCAAAATAGAGCAGAAAAGATTTCTGGAATCCTTCACTGAACTCAACACTCTATAGTCTTTGAAATGTGAACTCTAGCTGAGGAACGTTTTGCTTATTTAAGTAATAAATGATAGAGAGATGGCACATGAAACGAAGTTCCCTGATCTGTTCAGTACAAATGATTAAACCACCCAACCGTTCTAATTTAACAAAAATAATATTATTTTATCCCATGAAATGTCATAGAGTTCCAATACACCACCTGAAGCAGGGCAGTCCTTCCTGTGCAAACCCTTACGTAAAATGATTCATAAGAATTAAATGAGAAAGGAATTTCTAAGGGTAACCATGATGGCACTGGTAAAGGGTTCAAGTCTGAAGCCCTCACCAGGAGTAAATTTTCTACTTCTCTCAGTTTCAAACATAGCAATATGCGATACAGTGCCAGTACATCAATGAGGAAACATACACACTATTTATTGCTTTAAATCTGAAGACCCTTATGCAGGCCAAATATTGTATTAAAGACATTTTTTTGAGGGAAGAACATTTTATAAGTTTTTTCCATGTTTGTAGAGATTGCATGGGCCATGCAAAGCCACCTGAGAGCATTTCTGCAGACAAGAGCCCACTATAATAATTCGTTCCTTTCACTACCTCATGCTTTTGAGATTAAAATCTGGTAGGCAGACACTGAGCTCTCACTCTTCTCTATCTACATCCCTGAAACTGAGACAAAGTGATATTGATCCATAAAAATTAAATTTTATTCAATTGTGAATCTGATTATGGAAAATGTCAGCCCTTTTTTTCTCTCCTATTAAGGTCCAATTTTCTGACAAGCCAATAATGTAATATTTGTTTCACCATCATTTTTATATTGCTGAGGAAGAAAAACCCCCAAAGAGTAAAATGGTTTTCATGCATTTATAGCAGTAGCTTCTACAATATATAATACAAAATTATGTAAATCTTTCAAAAACCCAGATTTATATTTTGTGCCTTTATGAATGAAGCTAATTTTCATACAGGAAAAGCTGCTTGACCAATTTTTTTTTTCCTAGATAGGCGCATTCCTGATGACTTTTCAAAAATCTTTTTTGCTGGTTTTATTTTTCAGTTGTGTTTTTTTTTTCATTCCTAACTTCAGCATTTTAAGATAACACTTACTCTGTTAACCAAAATGCTAAATGCTTTCCAAAGCAAAGGCTCATTTGGATGTTTCCTCAGCCCCAGGCTTAATAGCTTTCACTTGCTTCTATGCAGGATAAGGCTTTTGTTCAATTTTGTTTAATAAGCGGCTGGTACAAAGCCACTGAAGTTATATTACATATGGTATGAACCCACCCCTTGTTCTGTGACAAGACACAGACATTCAGGTTTCAGGAGGGCAAACGATGGCCAATCCTGCATCCTGCTTTTTTTTTTTTTTTTCCCTTCTGCTGAATTATGTTCAATGGCTTGTAGATAACAAAACATGATGTGAGACTGGAACAAATCCTGTAACACCTCTTTAAATGAATTATTAACCAAGGGGCTCACTCTTCTCCCATGACTTCTGCTTTTACTCCAGCGTGGTGCCATTTGGTCTTTGGAAGCACTCTTAATTTACACTGGGACAAGGGAGGATTAAAGACCTGAATATGCAGAGACAAGTTATTATCATAAATTCAGGTTGAAAGCTTAGCTGCAAACATTGCCAGGGAAAAGGCTGAATTTCTGCTGCATCTAGAAACAGCAACATACATAATCATATAGAATAAAAGGTTTGATATCTCTTTATTTGTATTAAGACCTTTAGAGGTGAGATGACCTTCCCTGCAATTTATTTTGCAATCACCTAGAAACTGAGCCAACATCCTTTCTGCCTGCAGTGTAGTGCAAATCCATAGTTCATGCCTTGTACCCAGCTTTCCTGATCGCATTCACCATCTGCTCAGAAGAAGGCAATTCCACTTTTATATCCGGGGGAAAAAAAAAATAGTCTTGCATGATGCATTAATTTATCTTTCACTAAAGCAGAGGTCACCAGCTTCTACTCAGTGCTTCCAGGACAGGCTATAACTTCTAGCCAAGCTTGGGCACAGATTTTGCACAGACATCCAGTTCTCAGTATAATGATTTCAAATAATGGGCAATCACCTTATCATTAGGGAGTCTATCCTGGTGTCCTTTACAATGTCCTCACTGTTAGGAACGGGTGCCTTTTATCTAGACTGAATTTGTTGAACTTGAGGCATTAGTTGTCTGGTCTCACAGTACCTTTCCTGGAGGATGTGGAAGCCTTCTGCTCCTAGAAATCTGCTTTGGTCATCCTTGTCTTGACTGTGGGTGGATTACTACTGAACATTATTTTGGATAATGAAATAAAGTGTTTTCTAATTATCATGTTTCTTACAGATTCTGAATTGCACTCATGGCTTTTTGCAGAGTTTTTGCAGTTTCTAACACCCCATTTCCAACAGGGATGGGAGAATCCCACAGTTCCAGTGCTGCCCTCTCACTGTTTGCTTGATAATTTCCCTGTGTGCTGAGGGATTGGACCTGTCACCCCACCTATCCGATCACCCTGCAAGCTAGTGCCCTGCCAACCAGTTGTTCTGATCCCTAAGTCCTTTTCATCCACCGTTTTCCAAGAAACATCCCCTACAGTGACCTACTTTCTCTCTTCCTGCTCATAGGATGTATTTGGTTTTATTAAAATGAATGTTGCAAAATTGATCTGTTTTTCCTTGTGATCCAGATCAGTCAGTAAAATTCCCTTATCTGTAATATCACTTACTACTCCGCTCACTTTATGTCTGGCCTTGTCAGCAAAGATTTTATATTTTCTTCCAGATGCTGTTAAAGTCCAGATTAAGGACAGCTTTTATTCCAAAGGCTTGCTGGCCCTGAGACACTCATCATAGAAATTACAATTTCATCACTGTTTATAATTACTTTTTCTGAGATCCATCATCCATTTTAAATTAATTTGGAGTATGTTTACTTGGCTTGCTTCAAAGCTCATTTTTTCATCAGAATGTCCTGTGGTATCAGATTCCTCTCTGAAATCTAAGGATATTGTATCAGTGCAGTTACCGTCATCAGCATAATTTGTAATCAAATCAAAGGACCATATCAGTTTTATAAAACCTATTCCCATGAAATCATGCTAACTAGCACTAATTATGCTATTTCTTTACTGAATGTATCTTGTAGCAGCCTCACCATTACTTTGCCTCATATCATCTTCACATTAAATAGTTTATAATCCTCCTATCTATCCTTTTAAAATATTGCAATAGCTTTTTTTTTTCTTTTTTTTTTTTCTGGGGAGAGATTTGCAGGGAAGTGGCAGCTCTGAAATAATTCCTTGATGAACAAGGGATGAGGAGACTTGGGAGACTGCATGACTTGGGCCTGGCAGACCTTAGTTAATTTACCTGCTCCTCTAACATGGCCTGGAAGGTGGTGGGTGATGCAGGATGGTGGCACATGCACAGAAACCCAAAGGTCTTCTGTAACGGCCAGGCAGGACACTGCTCTCCTTGGGATGAACTTAGAGAAGAAAAGAGCAGGATGGGAGCAGTTCTGCCTTATTATTATTATTATTATTATTATTATTATTATTATTATTATTATTATTATTGCATCTCTCTCTGTTTGTTTGGTATGTGCTGAGACTTGCTTCAAACTTGGGTCTCAATCCTTTTAAAGACAGGGAAAGACCTGAAATCTAATGGCAACAGATCCTGTAGACCATCCAAGTGCTTTTGCCTCAGGACCAGTTGGTGTCAAAGCCTGGGCCCAGCATTACTACACCAAGTCCCTCCCTGCTGCTTAAATGAGAACATTCTCGCTCCTGTTCTAGTCATACAGATCTCCTTGAGATCCTCAAAGCAAGAGATATTATAGTAGAGCAAACAGTTATAATTTTCTTACTGTCAGGGTTTGCATCTCAACATTATCATTATCTATCACTGTGCTGGCAATTTTCCTGTGTCTTCTGGAGCATATGAACTCCTAATAATGAAAGGTCTTAGTGTCCCTAGTCATGTTAAGCATGGTTAGACATGCTAAAAATAAAATGATTTGATTTGCCAATAGCACGTATTCCCAATTACACTTTATCATAATTTACAAGCTAATTCACTACCTCTGATAGCTCAGAAAGGCTGAATATATTTCATCTGCAGCAGTGGTACAGTGAAGAGAAAGGATGCTGCATCAGGCACCTGGGGTACCAGCATGTCAGGAATGAAGCTTGCTGGGCTGATGTAGCAGTGCGCATTTACACATGTAGGATCTCCACCAAACCTGTTCTCAAAAAGCCCCTTAATAAAGATGTGAACCTTTTTTTAGCATTATTTCTTCACTATTTCAGCTTCTCACTTTTCCTATGCTTTGAGCTAGTCTAGCATTTTTTTTTTCCGATTTGAATCCTATTTAGTTAAACTGATGCAAAGGCATGAGTGAGTGGTCTTATGTCAGCTTAAAATATGTTAAAGGGGTTTCACTTGAACTTGCAAATCTACCAATAGAAGTTAAGTCTCTATAAGCCAGATTTAAATTTATTTGAGAGAGCCTGTGCACAAATCACTCTAGTAAAAGTGCAGCTTTTGTTGAAACCAACTTTTGTTCAACTTATGTGTATGCTTAATAAAGATGGAAAGAGAGTGAGCATCTGTAGTAACATTGGTGCAATATCATTTTGTATTGGCTGAGGATTCACAGCATTGCTTCTGTTTTGATTTTGTGAATTACGTTTAAAATGTGTTAGCTGAAAGAAGGAAAGAAATCAGGTTTGCATGCCCAGATGAATAGAGCCTCTTGAACCTTTTTCTGTTAGTACCAACTAAGAAAATCGAAATCGACCTGGAGGTAGGTTTGGCTGTATTACATTGACAGAAATTACGTGATTTAGAGAGTAAAACTCTGGATGGGACAAAACTCTGGATCCCTAACTCTGGTAATCCACAGAACAGATAAAGTACGGGTTGCAGCAATAAAAAGTTCTCCAAAATTGCTCTATTGCGCTATGTTTTCTGGGTTGTCTCAGGCTCTGCACTGTCTCACCACAGAGGTATCACAAGGAGGACATCTAAGTGCTAAGAGTTCACTTCATGAACTACCCATGAACTACCTGAACTACCCGAGCACTGATGAATCAGAACCAAATTTATCTGCAGGAAAGCTCTACCCTCAAAATACCTCTGTACCATCTGCTTTGGCCTTGTAGAGAGATTTGGGTTCCCCAGGCAGAACATAAGTTGTCTTACATAGAATTATGACCACAGATCACCAAGTGGTGCTCACAGGTTACAGAGGAGGTGCCATGCGTAAAGGATTTGCTTTATTTTGCTATGTGATCTGCAAGATTAGCAGAAGCCTCAGCTCACATAGATAACAGTTGTCATCGTTTGCAAGTCACGCATGGTGCGAGGAGTTAAATAAACAAAGCGCCAATCTGGGCTGTGCTTGATTAGTGCCATAGGTAGATTAGTGCTTAACAAATAAACAGGTACCTTGTGCAATACAACCATGCAGGGAAAGCAAGGGGGAAGGGAGAGAGGCAGACACACAAGACAGCAGCAAATAAAAATACTGATTTTTATAAAAATTACTGAAATGTGATAACATTAATCCTGACATTCCACATTAGAGCTGAAATGTGTTCAAAGCAATGATTCTGTAGATTTGTTCATTTGCTTTCCATACCCTTTGCATTTTCTAATTTTCCCTTTAACAATCAGTGAGAAAATCCTTAAGAACTTTCCCAGTCAGTCTCATTTTAATGCATGTTAAAAGCAGGGAGCAAACTTGTGGCTCTGTTATTCCCCTGCTACATCTTATAATTGAGAGGTAATTGTTAGCCAGATGCTTCCTCAGCCAAAAAGCTGTTTTAAAAAACACAATATGACAAGTTATGCAGTGGGATTAGTTTATCGCGAAATCCACCAGAGGATAAAGCTGCAAAGATACAATTGCAGCCAAGACAAAGAAGGGATTTCTGATTTTGTTGTTTTGATGCAGCTTTATAATTTGTTTCCTTTTGCAGACTAAATGAAGACAAAACCGAGGGCAGCAGAGCCCTGTTACATGCTTGATGTCACACAGTTGAGCTTTGATCGGTGCTTTATTTACTCTTACCCTCATCCCTTCAAATCGTGACAAGGCTCTTAATGGTCTCAAAGCTCGCAGGGTCCTGAGGGATTTAATGGGACCCATCTCGGAGTATCCAAGTGTATTAGCTATGAGGCTTATTAAAGAGACCTGTATGGAGACACAAAGGAAAAACCCAATTTGTTAGTGGACTTCTGCCATTTTCCTTCTCTACTGCCTTTCCTTTCTGAAAAGAAACAGCTGGTTAGTGCAACAGTGGAAAAAAACTAAAAAACCTTAAATGGAAACCATTACATTAGACTAATGTTGTAAAAAGGATGTTTTATATCTGCACATATATAGAATTCTGTCCAACTCATCAAACATTTGCTTCAGGTTTAATGCAAACTTTATATTAATACAGACTTTTAAAGGTGTCCTTTTTCATTTAACTAAACACGTGGAACTCCTTTTACCATCAGCTTGTACAAAATGGATTAAAGAAGCAATTATTGCTAAACAACCATCTCTCCATGACACCAATGCTGTAGGTTTTCTGTACACTTCAGAATGTGCTTGAGCACCTTCCAATTCTGAAATATGATGAGTCACATAAGTGTTATAATTTAAGGCTTTCCAGATGAACCATTCCACACACCTGTAAGATCTAACCATTCCTGGCAAGGATAAAAGATTTTTCAAACTACCATTCAATTACCAGCCTTAAGCTTACTGATTAGAAAACAAGTCTTCAAAATTGGCAATAGATCTGACTTTATACGATCAGCTTTTTAAAAGAATTATGCACACATGACTGTTTTGTTCAGTACTTTTTACCACTTTTCTCTGATTCCTGAACAGCCTGTAAAGAAGGAAACTTGGCAGGTGCTCAGTGTTAAGGTTCATTCCCCCTCAAAAACAATTTATTGGGATTAAACTATAAACAATTTTCAAATCTGGAGAAAGCATGGAGGGGGTTCAATGCTCTTCTTGTTCTTTCATAGCGCCCAGCTGAGCAGAAACGTGGGTACTATCGGGTCTAGAGCTGGAATCTGGGTGAACAGTGGCAGTTGTTGAGATAACTGGTCAGATGAAAATGGATTTTGCACATTGAAATCAGTGTTCACAACCTGAATTCACACTGACCAGGGAGTGAGAAACCAAACAGTTCTCCAGCACCATAAGTATCGCTCTGCTTTGCACGTGTTAAAACGGAACCACAATTAACCCCCGTCTTTAATAATCTGTTCTTTTCTCCATAGGGAGAGATCTGGGCTTACTGCTCTTGACATTTCCCTTACTCCCATCTTATTTTAGCTATTTTAACATGGTTATGATGGTATGTGAGTACCTCACACTCACAAGTGTATTTATCTGCAAAGCTGGCCTAAAAGAGATGTATTTTATTGACATTTAAAAGACAGAAACTAAGTCCAAAAGCTCAGATTCTTCTACCCTATATAAAAAAAAGGTGAATCCTCTAGGCTTCCCCATGAAGACAGTCAATTCTGGTAGGAAATTATCCCATCTATTTTAGGATTTTTTCTCTGAACACGACCACTGAATGACCAGCTCAACATCACTCATGAGGTCTGTGATAAGGTTTGTCGTATCTGGATATGACTAGATAAAAGTATCTTCATCTTTACAAAACTGGCTCAATTTGTTCAATTATTTACCTACTGATGCCTTTTTTTTTTTTTTTTTTTTGGTGGCATGTGGGTTGCAGCAAGGCTAGGGGCAGAAGGTCCGGAAGACTCCAAGGCCAGGATGGATGCAATGGGCTGGACATCTGCTGGGACCAGCCAGGCTGACTCTGCAGGTGCCAAAGTGGCACAGAGGCTGCTGTCACACTTGAACATGTTGCTGTGAACAAGGTGTGACACAAACTCACCTTCCTCGAGCAGATCTGGTGGTTGATGCGGAAGGAAGGTCTCCTAGCAAACACTTTCTCATTTTAGCAGTGTGAACTCTTTAAAAACTTCACAGTTGCCAATCAGGCTGTTTCCTAAGAAAACTCTTGAAAGACTTGAACCCATGTTTGCACAGAAGAAGCTATTTTACAGTAAATCCTACTATAGGATTCATATATTCACTGGTAATACTTTTCTTTCCCCTAAATCCTATAGTTAATGCTCAGTTAAATATGGAACTCTGGCTCTGACAGGGGGAAGTCTTTTTAAATCCACTTGAAACTTGCCAATGCTCTTAAACTGCTAGTGTGCAGCCTTGCAATATCTTCCCTAATTTTTACCAGCAGGGCTTTAATGGTTATAATCTGTACTCAGAAGTTTCATTGCCGTACAGTCCAAAGTCCATGACTTTTATTTACTATTCCAGTTGACTTTAATGAGAACAGTGCCTAATTAAGGAGAAAGGACCATAGGATTGGGCTAATACCAGTTGGCAAGTGAGCATTATGCTTATATGCTAGAGCCATTCTACTAGAGCCTCTGAAAACTAAAATATATTTTGCATTTTTGAGGTGTCTTGTTAAGAGTATCATTTTGACGTATATTTGTATCCTTGGTGGAAAGTTCAGTCCAGAAAATGGCATTAACTCCATGAGGTGTTGGAGCTTCTTAACTCAAAAAGCTGAAGAGATGAGAAAAAATAGCATCCTATATGATAGAAACCAAAATCTGCACACTCGCATGTTCCACAGTGAGCTCCTTCATTTGTTAAATGAATATATAGATTTAAAAGAAAATGAATCAAATACAGAGCACCTGACACTCTTCTTCTTCACTATCTTCACCTACAATGACTGAAAGTCAAGTATTTTTAAGGTTTTCACATTGCCCTGTACAAACTTCTGCTTTCTTCCTCCCTCATTCTCAGATTTATGTCCCCTAACTCCCCTAGTCTCAAGGCAGAGGATGCCCTGCTCCAATCCTGCAAGGCCAGACTTTGGGTCTGAGAGAGTTACCATTTTCTCCGCAGTGCCATAAATGTCACCCTGAAATGCATCACAGGTGCTGCTGTCCTCCTGACACAGATTTACACAGCATTAGATCCTCTGTTCAGAGGATTAAGGCCATGAAGCTGGGTGATATTTGGTGATGATTTACAAGACTGGAGTCAGAAATGAGTCTGAGACAACTCCCTAAAATGCTCGACTGTTGATTTTGAAGGTATCCCCGTCAAATACTGTTTATTGAAGAATCATTAAAGCAGAAACTTGACCATTTCGACTTGATTAAAAGTGACCCAGAAGGTTATTTTTAGGAAAACAGTCAAGCAGTTTTCAAAATTGTTGCTGACTGCCCCACATAACCACAGCAAAAAGGTGAAGTCAGCGATTTCTATTACTTTTTTTGCCTTGTTACAAGGCTGTGTGGCCCCAGGCTACTCTTGGTTTCTGCCTTGTGGTCTGCTTGGTATCAGAATCCTCCTGGCACCTCAAAAACAACTCCAGAGTCAATGCAAACTCCACTTTTCCAGTATTGCACATATTTCTAATTCTTTCAATATTTGTTTTCCAAATTGGTTTGTAGCTTTTTTTTTATTTTTAAAGGAAAAAAAACTCTGAAGACCAGGCAGCACCATACTATTATGAAAGGTAGTCAGACCTAAGCTGCAGAGTCCTCTTCTTCCTTTGCACACTTCTGACACAAAAAGCCCTATTATTATTCTTATTTGCAGATGTTCTGCTTCTAGTGCATTCCTGGAATATTGTTTTTTTTTTCCAGCACATGCTAGATCTTACTAAGAAGTTTTCACAGATCCTCTGTCTAAATTTTGCTTTCCTTAACCTAATCAAGCAATAATAGATGTGTTTGCTAACTATCAGCTGTTCTGCATCTCCCTTTGCTTTCTCTTTATTCTATTCCAGGCCCCAGGATGATGTCTGCACTGGAATTTTCTATCATGGGCTCCTGCTTACAACCTAGCTGGCAAGGAGGACAACTAAGGAAGATGAATTTTCTTTTTTAAGTCTGTGTAAACCGTCCTGACTTCACTGACATTAATGGCAAAATCCCCATCACGAGGGGATAGGATTCCAGTTCTTCGCCTTAGTGATATCAGTGGCTTCTCAATATTTCTTCCAAGGACTCAGCCTCTGGAACGGGCAGCATTTAGCACCCAGCTCATTGGCAGGAGGGTCCCAGCAAAGCCCTAGGGCTCCTGTCAAAGCCATGGCTGATACTCCTTGCACAATGTTGCTTCTTCTCGCCGCAGCAGAGGTGCTGCTAATGAGATTAATACCTGAAATTTCATTTTGATAATCCAATACTAGGTTATGATTGACTCCACCACCTAAAAAACATCTTCTCCAGGAATCAGCAGGCTTTTCCAGCAGCTGTCACTTATTCAGATTTAATATTTAAAGGGATCTTGTCATGTTCCTGAGATCTTACATCACACGTTTTGCTCCCATGGTGGCACCCACTGGTATTAAAGTCCTGCACACTAAGTATTTTCTCTGTGTTAAGGAGAATGTGTGCCACATGTCTTCCGCTGTCACACCAGGGAAGCAGACTGAAGGCAGGGGCCAGGCTTTTAAAATGGGAGGTTTTACAGTGTATACCTTTAAGCTCTCAAGCTGTTTTAATTACTCAAAGAACTCCACCGTGGCATTCACTATAATTCTCAAGTTGACAAATATGCAGCATTTTTTGGACTATTAAAACTGTTCATTCCAAACATACAGAGATAAAGACATGTAATTGGTATATATGTCTTCACTATCTGACAATGTTTTAAGAAATTGGTGATGTTAACTAATGTAAACCCCAGTAAAACTGTCTAAGGAGAATTTTAAGGTTGCTGAAAAACACATCTATAAATTGGGAAGTGCTATAATTCAGCTTCCTTTCAGCATGCACAGGGGAAACAGTTTTAATCAAAAGATCACATATGGTTTCTCCTAAGCAGTTACTGCACTTATGTCAGCAGAGGAGTTAGTTACTTTTTATTCTCTGGTTCCTTTTCTGCATCCATACATTTCAAAAGCATTTTAGCAGCATGCATGCACTTCCGAGCCATGAAATCTTGCTGGCTCCTGCAGTGAGAAATGTGCGCTCTTTGGGAGCCGTGCTGGGGTTTCCTATGACAAGGAGATCAGTGCAACAGGGGCTACTGCTCTATTTTTCATCCTCCTTCTTGCCAGCATAAAAACACATTTCAGACATAGAGGGAGTGTCCCCTGGACCATGCTGGAAGCAAAC